ATAAGGCACATAGTGCCGAATTAGTTCAGATTATACTGTTTTCATACCTTTTTTTTCTTGTATTCTCCTAAGTCTTTTAACTCTATCTTTCTTTGCTGATCCAAGAAGCTGAAGACTAAAACGTGATTTATAAAGCCCAAGGTCAATAAATTCAGAATATGGTTTCCCAACCTATCAACAACTTTTTTCACAAATCCTCTAAGGTCTCTGTAGTCAATAAACCGTATATATTTATACACAATATGCCAGCTACATTTATTAGAATTAGATGAACGGGTTAAGGCAAAAGCATCTAATATTGCAAAATGTTTTAAGTCAAAATATAAGATATCGCCGCAGGCAATTAAGATTCTGGATAATAAATCTTTACGAAAAATTTTACTTCTATTTAAAGAAGAAAGTTTAGGATTCATAGGATCGGAGTTCTGCCTCGCATCAATATCTAGAACCAGGCAGAGAGGCAAATTCCCATCAATGCACTTATGGGTATCGGGTAATCTATAAACTTCAGATAGATGATCAATTACTGTAAAACCCTTTCCTGACACTCAGACTATATATTTTGAATAAATCTCTTCAGGATGATAGGCTTCTAGAAGAGAAATATCATTTTTATTATTGGACAAATATTGAAAATATACATGATCATTGTAACCAGGCTCAAAATCAAGGTCCACTAAATCAGAAAAGAGCCTGGTTGCATCATTTATTGTTTTGGAGCTTGGCCTGGGCTTTTTTGCGCAAGTAGCATGACAGTATATACAAGAAATTAGTATAAAATAACAGAGAAACTAGCAAAGTTCAAAATAAAAATTTTATATAATTTTGAGCAAATATGCTTGCTAGTAAAATACTGGATTAGTAGTAGTACCCAGCGCCAAGCCAAAAGAAAGTAAACGATGTGATAGTATCCCAAGTAATCGATGTGGTAGTACCCAAAAGTGATCGATATGGTAGTACCCAAAAGTGGTACCCAAAAGTGATCGATGTGGTAGTACCCAAAGGTAGAATTATATATAGTAAAAGAAATAAGAAATTATACTTTTGGGTACTACTGCCGATAGATAAGAAAGAGAGCAGAAAGATGGAAAGACTTAGGAGAATACAAGAAAAAAAAGGTATGAAAACAGTATAATCTGAACTAATTCGGCACTATGTGCCTTATTCTGGCAATCACATCATAGTGGGATGGCATTCAAGATGGCATCCAAGACGAAGCAAATAACCTATTGAATGGAAAAACAGGATATGGGAACAGCTAAACCTCTTTAGAGTAAGAGGTCTTTACACTTACTCGAAAAAGAATGCTTTTTATGCACGTAAATTATCTACTGCGCCACCTGATATAATATTTTTTACACCACTTCAACATCTAGAAAGGCAACCAAACAGGCGCAAAAAAGTAAGCACTTTGATATAGAATTTGGCACCCAAACAAGTGCAGAGATGCAATAACTATGGTATAAAACTTGGAATCAAAAGAGGTATAGACAACTCGTATCCTCAATATAGAACCAGGTATCCAAACAGGTAAAGAAGAGCAACACCAACAATGTAAAATTTGACGTACAAATGGATTGGAAACAAGAAAAAAATGATGATATATAGATTATGCAGTGGTAGTTAAATTTAATAGTGGGTAGTAGTTAGATTATATAGTAGTAAAATATGGATACTAGAAAGGGTTTAAATAGGTAGCTAGAGCATAAAATAGATACCCAAAATAGAAAATGTATAAACTATATGATGATGATTAGATTATTTAGATTATTATATAGAGGTAATTAGATTATAATATTAAGATTATATACTGGTACTTATATTATATAGCGGTATTTGGATTATAGAGATATTTAGATTATATAATATTATCTAGATTATAGTGGTATTCAAATTATATAATGATATCTAGATTATATAATCTAACATAAGTGGGATATCACTATATAATATAATTATATTATATAGTGATATCCCACTTAGGTATTATTTCGAATCCATATATGCCATTTTTAGGGGGTGCAAATTTCGAATTAACGCTATTCCGAGAATTTACAGTACCAATTTTTGCGAGAATATTTTTTTATTCAAGAAAGTTTTTATAAAGCAGAAGTATAATTTTTAAGATAAAAAGATAAATTTGTTAAAATTAAAAGTTAGATGAAGAATTACAATTTTTTTTGTAGCGGTACTCACATGCTACAAACGAATAAATAAATAAATTAAGCTTATTTGAGTTAAACTTATAACTATATACCAATTTTCACGAGAATATTTCATATACAAGAAAGTTTTTATAAAGCAGGAGTATGATTTTTAAAGATAGAAGGATAAATGAGTTAAAATTAAAAAATGTATACAGTTGATACTGTCTAAATGCATACCATCGGTGGACACAAAAAAAAATCAATTTTATGCATTTAAACAGTATTA